CACACAGGCCACGCCCTCTGAGGATCATGACGAGGGTGTGGCCACCTTGTCCTCTGTCCAGTGGTCTGGGGAGCCTCTGAGGTAGGACAGGGCCAGGGAGGCTGAGCTGGGAAAGGAGTGGCTGTGCAAAGCACCCAAATTGCTAAGGCCCAGCCTAGTTCCAGGAAAGCTGGCCCCAAATGATAGACTAGAACCACAGGACAGAGGCCGGGCTGCCTGTCCCCGCCCACCCTGGGCATGGAGACTTGGTGGGAAGAAGGGGGGCTCTCTGAGCTCTGGGGGTGGGTCCTCTCTAGGGCTGGCAGGCAGGGCTCTTGGTAGGGAGGGGTGCTATGGTCTCCAGCTGGAGTGCTCTTTAGGGGGACAAGTTGCAGTCTAGATCCTCTAGGGAGGGGGTAGGGCCTCTCTGAGGGGCACTGGGGCTGGGGCAGGGGTGGGCAAACTTTTTGACTCGAGGGTCACAATGGGTTCTTAAACTGGACCGGAGGGCCGGAACAAAAGCATGGATGGAGTAGTTTGCCCACGGCTGGGCTGGGGCCTTATACTCAGGATCCCTGCAGAGATAACCATTAAGCTATCCTGACATTAATGACCCAGGTTTGTAGAACAACATGTGGGTAGGAGGGCCAGCATATGAAGAACAAATGTGATTGAGGTTTAGGATGAACCTGGCAGGGATGTAGGGCGATCCTGGGTTCCTCTCATCCTGAGGCTCCCAGTAGGGGCCAGAAGCTCCTGGCAGTCACTAAGCTTGTCCCTGGTGGGAGCTCTGGGTGGAAGAAGTGTGTGTGCTGGAGAGCCTGGGCCCCGATTGGGGACTGCCTTGGCCAGTCCCGTTAGGCTAAAGGGGGGGTGTTGTCAGTCGGGCCAGGCTGTGGTTTCCCAGTCTTAGCCATCCATCCAGAGCCAGGTCAGCAGAGCCAGGCCCTCAGGCCCTATAATTACTGGGGTGGGAGCTGTGGCCCAGTGTTAAAGCAGAGAAAGCCAGCTCTGAGGCCTCCACAGGGGGACCAGGGTCCCTCCTAGGGGGACCAATCAATGGCAGGCCTGACCCATCCCTTCAGATCCCTAGGCCCTGTCTCTCTAGCCATCTGCCCTCATTTTTGAGAAAAGATCACTGAGGTGGGAGTTCCCATTGTTCTCTGTCAGGACTAGGACTCCTGCCCCATGAGCTAATGATGTGTGATGACATTTATTGACTACCTACTGTGTGCCAGGCACCATTCTAAGCACTTTACATGGACCAACCCATTCAAATCTCACAACAACCATAGAAAGCAGATCTTAAAACTAAGCCATATTGCAGAAGATGAGACCGGCACAGAGAGGTTAAGTAACTTGCTTGGGTCACACAGCAGGGAAGGTTGAGAAGCCAGTATTTGAACCCAGATGGTTTGGCTCTAGAGCCCATGCTCTTGGGAATTCAGCTAAGTTACCTGTTGCTCTGAGAGAGGCAGAGTGACTATTGGGTGGTGATGACTGTGCTTGGGGAGTGAGCTTGAGTGGCCTGCCCGGGCTGACTAGGCAAGAAGAGACCTCAGGATCACAATGTCCCTACCTTGCATCTGAGGCTGGTCTGAACTGGGGCTCCTGAGGTCATTGTGGGCTTCCTTGTACACCGTGGCCTTTCAGCGGACTCTGTAATGTCAGCAGTTTGGGTCTGGACCTGGCTCCACTGGTGGCTACAGAGGGACCAGCAGTGATGGGGGTCACCGTGAGTATCTGTGACCAGCCAACTGGGTGAGTCAGGCCAGATTCCAACCAGCTCTGGGGGTGCCCTCAGGGTTACAGGTACCTCTTCAACAGGAGCTGCAGAGGAGGGGTTGGGTGGTGGTGGGTGTCCTGGCAGAAGTGATCTTGGATCTGGGCTCTGGATCAGGTGGATCTTAACAAGTGAACATGGACACTCCAGGAGGGGGGCATGGCTGTAGTCAAGCCCTGGAGGCTTACATACAGGCTGTTATGTGCGAGTCATCGTGGCCTCAGATCAGGCAGGCCCGTGGTTTCCAAACACCCGGGCTGTGTGTTAATAGGCCCCTGCTCCTCACCTCTAGACAGGGTGATTGTACAGACCTGGATTATGGAGGCCTCAGATGCTAGAAGAAATCTGGCCTTCATTTGGGTGGCAATTGGGAGCCACTCAACATCATTGGGCAGCCACACCAATGAGCTAATACTGGTAGCCCTCTGAGAACAGTGTCTGGCACATAGTAAGCACTAAACATGTTAAAACCCAGATTATTGTTGCTGTTGGTAGTCGTTATACTGAACCAGGGGCCTGGGCCAGTGGACTTTGAAGAACACATGGGTAACTGAGCTCTACCCAGAGGTGACAACCACTGGATCATGGCGTTAGCTCCCTGAGTCCAGACACTGTCTGTAGTCTCTGAACCCAGCCCAGGACTTAGTAGATCGATACGTGCTTGTGAGGTCAGGCTGTGGGAGCGATGCTAGATGGGCCAAGAGAGGAAGCAGGGAGCCCGGAGAGGAGGCCACGGGGTGAAGGAGAGAATTGTTGGGCCCATTCATGCGCCTGTGGGAGGCAAGGGGGTATCATGGCTGACTCCCAGGTGTCTGGCCTGGGGAGTGCCACTCAGGGAATGGGGACCAAGTGGGGGAGCCCAGGTGGCTGGAACACTGAGGGGTGAGAGGGTCTGTGGGACTGAGTCACCAGGAGGAGTGATGGAGGTGAGGCCGTCAAGTTGAGGAGGGACGAGGACATTAGCTGTAAAGGGGAAGAGAGAAGAAGCAGTTAGCAGAGGGGACAGGTTAGGATTGCTTTCGCCACCAGGATGAGAGAGATGTGAGCGCTTTCTTAGGCTGATGTGCAGGAGACAGAGGTGAGGGAGCTGAAAGTCCAAGCTCAAGCCAGGGGCAGGCCCAGGGCAAGATCCCCGAGAGGCAGGAGGAACAGGTGGCCTAGAGGGGACCTTACACAAGAGACAAGACCCTTGGGGCTCGGAGAGTGTAGCTGGGGTCAATGAAGGAGAAGATTTAGATGCTCCTGCTGTTCCTGAATGTTTCCTTGGCTCAGGGAAGAGGACGCTGTGGGCAGAGGGCGATTCTGGCTGTGGATTTGGGGTAACTGCCTGGAGACGCCTGGATGGGGACCTGTGGCCATGGGACGGGTGGGGTGGGGATCCACCGTGCATGCCCTGGCTGGTGGGGCTGGTGGAGTGGGCTTGGCCTGAGTTGTAGGAGGCTTCTCCCGGGCGTGAGGCCCATCCTGTGACCCACCAAACCTCAGCCTCCAGGAAAGAGGCTAAAAATAAGGCTGTGGTGAAGGAGGGAGGGGGTGTGGGCCCAGGCCAGGCTGGAGCCCAGAGGAAAATCTGAGACGACCGGCCGGGCTGCTGTGACACACGCTTCCCGTGCCAGTGGCCGGTGGGATCTCATCCTCTTGTGGCCATCGCTCCTTCCAGGGCCGTTAGCGGGACAACAACCCAGAAAGGCTCAGGCGGGGCCTGCAGGAGGCCCTGCTTCCTGGGAAGGTTCCCTCGGGCCTTCTGCCTAGAGCTCAGGCCTTGGACCTAAGCTGGGGTGCTGGGGGGTGCGCATGGGTAGGGGCATCCAAAGCTTCCTGTGTCTTGGGGTCTAGACTGCCTGGGAGCCCCCTGGGACCCTGGATGCCATCTGGATGTGGAGAAACGTTCCTCCTCCTTCCCAGGAGCTCCGTGCAGTAGAGGAGGCCAGGGAAGCTGCCTGGAGGCAGAGGCAAACTTTGGGCCATGAAGACATGGGAGGGATGCTGTCTGGTCAGGTGGCTAGAATATGCCTTGGGAGGAAGCAAGAGTCTCTTTCTTTCTTTCTTTCTTTCTTTCTTTCTTTCTTTCTTTCTTTCTTTCTTTCTTTCTCTCTCTCTCTCTCTCTCTCTCTCTTTCTTTCTTTCACATATTTTTATTGATTTCAGAGAGGAAGGGAGAGGGATAGAGAGAGAAACATCAATGATGAGAGAGAATCATTGATTGGCTGTCTCCTACATGCCCCCAACTGGGGACCAAGCCTGCAACCTGGGTATGTGCCCTTGACTGGAATCGAACCTGGGACCGATGCTCTACCCATTGAGCCAAACCAGCTAGGGCGAGAGTGTTTTTATTTGTTGTGCACATAGGCCGTCTTCATGATGCCGATTGTGATATGGCCTTCTTCCCAGGAAGTGGCCAATAGTTACTGTAGATCCGTGCCCTCCATTCGGCTGTGGTTGGGGACCCACTGTTCAGGGGCCCAGGGGGAGTTTTACCTGCCTACCCAACTCCCGACTCCACCCATCCTTACCCAGTCCTTAAACAGCCCCTGTTCTGGGTTCTGGAGGTGACATTCTGGCTCCAGCGCTCCAGGGGCTCCTGGTCTAGTGGGGGAGGGGCAGACACACACATTCGTCTGGGCAGCCACTCCACAAATAGTCACGGTGGGCTGGCTGCGTGCTGGGCCCTGGGCCGGGGACAAGAGCAAACCACACAGAAGCAGTGTGGCAGAAGAACAAGCTTTGATTCTGGCAATAGACCTGTTTCAGATCTCACCTCTGACACCTTAAGTGCTCCATGACAAGTTATTTAACTTCTCAGAACCTGTTTCCTCCTATGTAAAATGGGGTCAATAATTGTAGATATTAGCAGAGGCAGCAAGGGGATGATAATCATAGACACCTGCACAGGTAGAAATACCATCTGAAGAGCCTCACACGGTACCTGGAACTGAGTGGGAACCAGTAACTGGTGGCTCTTAGCTCCTGGCTACAGTGGGTTCCCCACCCCAAGCCCTGACAAGGAGCTCATATCCATGTCCCTGTGTGTCTTCCCTGTAGAACTAACTAATCCTAGTGTGCCAAGTGCTAAAACAAGGACAGGGCAATTAACTCATTGAGGTTGGTGGAGGGGGAGAAATCAGGGAAGACTTCCCAGAAGAGGAAGCACCTGAACTAGTTTTGAAGGAGTGGCAGGAATTAGCAGTCAACAAAGTTGTGCCAGGGTAGAAGAGGAAGCATGTGTAATTGTGGGGCCATGAGTAGTTCGGGGTGGCTGGAGTACGGGGTGGAGGGGTGGTTTCCTGCGCTGGAAGGTGGGAGGGTGGGATTGATAAGGCTGAACCTGCAGCTGGTGGCCTGGTGAAGGGGCCTGTGTCCCCCTGAAGCGCTGGGGAGTCTCAGTTGATAAGGACTATGCGAGAGAGGGATGTGATCAGACCCACACGTCAGGAGGGGAACAAGTCCTGGCTCAGGAGTGGGAATGGACTGTGGGGTGGGAGGGGAGTGTGGGTGGTTCCCCAAATCAGGCCCACCAGGGCCACCCACAGGCCCGATGGAACTCTGGGCCTCTGAGGCCAGGTCAGGCCCCTTGGAGGTCCCACTTGGTGGCTGCATTCCACCGGCCCAGGATGGGCCCTGGGCTTCTGCCTTCAAGGCAAGGCCACAGCCCGCCTTGGTTATTAAGTCATTACCGGGGCCTCACACAGCCTCTTCATTACGGGTAATTATGGCAAATCCACTGCGGCATTAGCAGAGAGGAGGCCAGCTTCTCTTGGCTGTCAGGCTGCAGCTGGGGCTGACCCCCATCCCAGGCATCTGCCCAGCATCCCAGCCCTGGGTCTTGGGAGAGACAGTGAGACAGTCTCCCCACTTACACCCCAGCCATCAGGTGGGACCCCCATACAATGCTTGGAGATTCCCTTTCACGTGGCATGACTTTGACCGTGTGGCTTAACTTCCTGTGCCTGGGTTTCTTCCTCTGTCCAGTGGGATAATAGTACCATAATAGGGTTATATGAGGATTAAACTGGCAAAGCACTTAATGCTCAATAATTTGAACCATCCTCATTTCAAATGCTGACATCATTTTCATCATCATTATCATCATCATCATCATCATCATCATCATGAAGAGCCTGGGAATCCCCTGAAGGCAGGGTCTAGTCCAGTGATGGCGAACCTTTTGAGCTCGGCGTGTCAGCATTTTGAAAAACCCTAACTTAACTCTGGTGCTGTGTCACAGATAGAACTTTTTTGATATTTGCAACCATAGTAAAACAAAGACTTATATTTTTGATATGTATTGTATATATTTAAATGCCATTTAACAAAGAAAAATCAACCAAAAAAATGAGTTTGCGTGTCCCCTCTGACACGCGTGTCATAGGTTCGCCATCACTGGTCTAGTCCCTTCTTCTGTCCCCTGCATGGGGTGCTCATAAGGCAGGCCCCGTCTCCTCCTCCTTTCCCCCCTGTCCCTCCCCAGGGCAGGTGTGTGGTGGTCAGCGGGGCTCTGGCCTGGCCTCCTGGTGTCCTAGAGATAAGCCTGCGGGGGCCCCTGGGTCCTCGGGGCTGGGGTTGTGCGCACTCACGGCCCTGGTTGAGTGCAGAGAGGAGAGAGGGCCCCAGGAGCTTGTTGGCCCCAGACAGCCTTGGCCCTGTCTGTTCACAGCTGGGGGCAGTTTCTGGTTCCGGTTCCCCACCCCCCGCCCTGACATGCAGTGCGCTAATGGGAGAGCAGAGGTGGCTGGGACTTGGGGGAAGGAATCTCCTTCCCCCAGAAAAGCAAGTCTGGAGCCCCACCTGCTTTCCTCTGTGTCCAACAGGTGGGGGTCCTGGTTATACTCCTGAGGACACCTGGGGGGATGTGTGCGTTTGTGTGCGTGTGCGCATGCGCTTGTGCACACGTGCAGGTGAGCAGGTGTGAGCATTGCTCCTCAGCCCTCTCCCAGCCAGAGAGCTTCCCTTGCAGTTTCAGCGGCTGCCCCGCTGCTCTCTGGGCTGAGGGGCCCGTGTCTGCTCCTCACTGAGGCTGGGGCTGGGCCACAGGTGGGCAGGTAGGAAGCTCAGCGGCCTCACTGGGCCGAGGAACCACGGAGGAGCCCGGCCTGCCTGCGCCTTGGGCCCCTGCAGTGGCGGAGGGAGGGGGTGAGATCCTCTCCCCAGGGTGAGCACAGGAGGCCAGTGGGGCAGGATGGAAGCTTGGCCCCCAAGCTCCCCAGGGGCCTGGCTGACGCGGCCAGGGTGGAGTTGTCTAGATGGGGCCAGGCTGGCCCCGCAAGGTGGAAAGAGGGCTGGTGTGGGACTGGGGTAATCCAGTCAGGTGGGGAGTCGGGGTACCAGGCATCAGACGTCACCAGTAAGCACCGTCTGTCTTCCCCGCCAGGCGTCCTCCTGGACATCCAGCAGGACTTCGGGGTCAAGGACCGAGGAGCCGGGTTGCTGCAGTCAGGTGAGGCCTCTACCCCTGCCCGGTCCTGCCCCTCCTTCCTGGGGGGTCATTCTCCGCTGGGGCTCTGCTTTGTGTACAGATCCCACTGTTGCCACTCACAAAGGGCCCCCCTCCTCCCGCCTCTGCTCCTCTTCTGGCAAAAGAAATCAAGCTGCCACGCCCCTGCCCTGAGAGGCCGTGGGAGGCCGAGTGCTGGCAGAGGGCCCAGGTCCCTGCGGGCGGCTCCCAGGTCCCTGCGGGCGGCTCCGGGGCCTCAGGGGACCCAGGGCTCCAGATTTCATCCGGAGGCTTGAAAGGAGCTCCTTAGGGTCAGTAAGTTGGGCGCTGTCCTCAGGGCCCGGACAGCCCTGTTTTCCATATCCCCCCACCCCCAACTCCTTCCATTGACATCAACCTGGGAGTTATCGCTTAGATGTCAAATCAGGAACCCACCTGGTCAGCCCAGAACCCTTCCCAGACTTGGGGCAGGAGCCTAGATCCAGGCTTGAGGTTCTTGGAGGCTCTGGGCCTTCTGACTCTTGGGGAGGCAGGGCTGGAGCCCCTGGGCCAGGGCAGGGTGGCAGGTCATTAAGCAATTACCCCTGCCTGTTGGCCCCTCCCTCTAGGGTCCATGTCTCCCTTGTCCCTGCCCTGCCCACTGCATGGCCCGGGTGGGTCTGAGCTCCTGGCTCCCTGGCCCTCTCACTAGTGTGGCCATGCTGGCTGTGCTCTCGGCAGGCCCCTCAGACCTGGGCCGAGGCTCAGGGCCAGCACCGCGTCTCAGCCTTGCTGTGTGGCGGGGCCTGGCCCCCTTGGCCCTGGTTCTCCCGGGCCCAGGGGTCCACCTGACTTTGAGGCCCAGTCAGATGTGTGGGAGGAAGTCCATAGTCTGCATTCCAGGCTGCGAACCCCTTCCCCTGCCTGGGCTCTCCTGGGGGGAGGGGTGGAGTGAGCTGGCTTTGTCCAGGAACCTGCCTGACCTGTCTAGGTGGCATTCCAGTCGAACAATGAGTTCATACAGCCTGGCTACCTGTTGGGGTCTTTGGGGCTCAGAGAGAGGGGGTGTGATAGCTTCGGGCTCATCCCTACTATGTGAGAGCTGACAGAGTGAGGACTGGGGCAGGCGGTGTGGTCCAGCACCTCCTAAGGTCCCTGCCATTGCAGATGTCACCTCAATGATGACAAGGATGTGAGCCCAAACCCCTCCCCTGGCCCTTGCTGGGTGTCCCTGGCTGGGCCAGAGCAAGTCAGCCTGCGCTGGGGTCTGGGACAGGTCCCTCCAGCCTGGGCTCTGCACTTAGAGCAGCGGTTCTCAACCTGTGGGTCGCCACCCCTTTGGCAGTCAAATGACCCTTTCACAGGGGTTGCCTAAGACCATCCTGCATATCAGATATTTACATTACGATTCATAACAGTAGCAACATTACAGCTACGAAGTAGCAACGAAAATAATTTTATGGTTGGGTCACAACATGAGGAACTGTATTTAAAGGGCCAGAAGGGCCCTGACCGGTTTGGCTCAGTGGATAGAGCGTCGGCCTGCAGGCTCAAGGGTCCCGGGTTCGATTCCAGTCGGGGCATGTACCTTGGTTGTGGGCACATCCCCAGTGGGGAGTGTGCAGGAGGCAGCTGATCGATGTTTCTCTCTCATCGATGTTTCTAACTCCCTCTCCCTCTCCCTTCCTCTCTGTAAAAAATCAATAAAATATTTAAAAAAATAATAATAAAGGGTCAGAAGGTTGAGAACCACTGATTAGAGAGTTCAAGCCAGGTGGGAGCATGGGAGGGAGCAGGCTGCTGAGCTGGGGAGGAAAGGGCAGGAGAGAGCCCAGCCACCAGATCCTCCCTCTGTGGCCCCTGGGTCACTGGGAGCTGCTGAGCTTCATCCCCTCCTGGCCTTGGCCTTGCTGACTGATACAGAACAAGGCTCTGCCCCAGTCTCTCCACTCAGCCCCACTAGTGAGGTCAGGCCAGTGCAGCCACCCAGCGAGCAGGTGGGAGGGCTCTGAGGGTTGTAGCGCGGCCACAGTGATGTCCCAGGCTGCCTTCTTGGCTAAGAGAGAAGTCGTGGTGGTCCCTGCGATCCCTGGCGACCTGGCCAGAGATGGACACATATCCCATAGGCATCATCTCGTTTGATTATTCCTCCTCCAAGCTTCACTTTCTAGATCAAGGGACAGAGGCTGAGAGGGGAAGTGACTTGCTTAAGGTCTCATGGTGAGACACTAGCAGGCCTGGAACAGGAATTCTGCATATACTGTCCTCTTGGCTTGGGGAGGGAGCACAGATGGCCCCTGGATTGGTGAATCTTGTCCCAGGTGTCTGAGAGTCTGGATCTCAGCATTCTCAGAGGGAGGGGATGGGGGTGGGGGCTCTGGGCCATGATGAGAGTCCCAGCACTCTCAGAGACCCCCTAGTCTTACGCCCTGACCCTCAGCCTAACACCTACCCCAGCACAGCTGGGACGGTTCCTAGAGTGTCCTCACCCCGTTGGCCATTTGAGCCAAGAAGCCGGGTGAGCTAGACCAGGATGTGGCCCAGTGGGCACCCAGGCAAATCACCTAATTGCCTGGGCCGCAGGCACCTGTCTCTTCCCCAAGCCCTGATAAGGTCGGAGACAGGTGGAGGGCGCCAGCCAGGTGTTGGTGCTTGCCCGGATCAAAGGGCCAGGGCTGAGAGCCAGTTGTCTGCTTATTTCTGGGCACCAGGGGCTGCTGGGCCAGGAGACAGGCTGGGATGTGGCTGAGGGTGAGGCCTGGGCCTGCCCCTGCTTTTCCGGTTGGGACCAGAGCGGGAACTTGGCTTGGGAAAAACCTGCTTTCTGTAGCCCCCTTGCAGGTTGCTGCTAGCTCAGAGCTGACCCCCGAGTCTCCAGAAATCTGGCTCTTGGCTCCTCCTGTTTGGGAAACCTGGGCCTCCTTAACCTACACCTAGAGAGGCAGCTGCACGACGGGCCCTGAGCTGGGCTCTGCCACAGACGCAGTCCCTGCTCTCGGAGTCCGCTCCGATGGGAACAGAAAACATCCAGTCTCCAGCCAGGCCTGGGGGCCAGGGGGCCAGCTCTGCCTGGACGCAGGTGGAGAAGTTCCTCAAGGAGGGCATGTGAGTGGGGCTTTGAAGGATGAGTTAGAACTTATTCAGGGGAAAGATGTCTACTCAGTCTGTCAGATTGCGTGGCTGTGAGAAGGCTTCCATTCCCCTCCACGCTGGATGAAAGATGCCGGGAAACATCTAAATTACGTGACTGAGCTTGAACGCTAAAGCTAGCAGGACAGTTTCAGGGGCCAGAAGCAAAGAACTGAGCTCACACACCGGAGTGGGAGCTGGTATTAAAGCCCAGTGCTGCGGAGTGTTTTGGGAAAGTATGTCTTAGACACTTCTTACAGTATTTTTAATGTAAACATTTAAAAAAAATATGTTTTTATTGATTTCAGAGAGAGGAAGGGAGAGGGAGAGATAGAAACATCAATGCCAGAGAAACATTGATCAGCTGCCTCCTGCACGCCCCCTACTGGGGATCCAAGCTCACAACCCAGGCGTGTGCCCCTACGGGAATTGAACCATGACCTTCTGGTTCATGGGATGACACTCAGCCAACTGGGCCATACAGGCTGAGCTCATGTAAACATTTTTTATGCTGAAAAAAATTTAAATATCCATACAGTGTAGAGAGAATAGTACAATGACCCTCCATCTAGCCATCACCCGGATTCATCAAGTTATCTCCGGGCTCCGGGGTTACTTTGTTCTGAGGAGCGGGCAGTGCAGACTTGGCTTCCCGTGTCGCTGGGTAGCTTGGTTTCCACTCAGAGCCCAGGCAGCTCCCTGATTTCAATCTGTACCCCCAGGCCGGTAGGCAGTGTTTCCCTCTGTGGAAGACATCGCCTTCCTGGTTCCGGCTTCATGCGGAGCCTCGTCCAGCCCCTGCTCTGTGCAGTTCTGAGACTTCCCCTGCCTTTCCCGTATAGACCCGAGGTTTCCAGGAACCCAGCAGAGGCCAGTGCAAAAGTGCTCGGTAGGGAAGCCTTAACGATCCAGATCCTGCCGGGGACACAGGGGACCACCCCCGCTGAAGACAAACTCAAATGTGAAATGGGTAGAGCACACACAGACACCCACCTTGGAGGGAGGGAGTCAGCTGGCCCAGACAGTGGGAAAACCAGCTCCCAGAGAACCGCAGAACCCCTGGAGGGGCCTGAACACTAGGCAGACTCAACTTGCAAAGCTCTCCGGGAAAGAGTAGGATTTATAAGGCAGGAACAGTCCCTGATAACTAAGAACAGGGAGATATCGAAAAGACCTACATTTTAAATTCTACTAGAGAAAAATCTAATGATTAAAATTAAAAAGGGTAATAATTAGCATTCTTAACAGGTAGACTAGACCCAGTTGAAGAGAAAATAAGCAAGTTGGAAGATGGAGCTGAGGAAATCAGCAGAAGTGCAGCCCGGAGGGGGAGAGTGAAGGTTGTGGCTGGAGTGTGGGGGGATGAGAGGAGGGGCTGGATCGCAGGCAGGGTCTGATGGTGAAAGGCACCTGGGCTTTGTCTGGGGCAGTGGGGAGCCAGAGAAGGTTTCAGGGCAGGGCAGGTGCCTCAGGATCTTTACTCCGGGGCCCAGTGTGGGAAGGGATGACAGAGGAGGCTGGACGGCGTTTCT